GTAAGAGCCACCGTGGCATACTCCGTAAGCCTGCTTTTGTTGGCCACGATGTCCTTTATATACTTTGCGTACTTAGGCACTCCCTGCAAAACATCAACAACTGGAATCTGAACTACTATTTGCTTTCACCTCACCGGAACCAATATTTGTATTCACCTCTGCTACATCACCTGAAGCACTAGTAGTAGTACGATACTTATGGTTTTGAAAGATCCAAGCCCTTCCAAAACTGTATGTCCATATTTTACCTCCTCCCGCATAGGCGCATCGCCGTAGAGGTGGTCGACCCGTTTTTTGTTTAGACTATCAATCATGTCATTATCTCTTTTGATCACTGTAATAATTTAAAATCTTTAACGAGTAGAAATAAAACATGGGATATTGAATACCTAGTATTTTAAACATTAGAGTTTACCAGCGATAGGTAGCACACCCAGTTCGCTGGTCTCTCAACCCGGCGGACCCATCATTTATACACCTGCTATGAGAGGTAATTGCGTCGCCTAGGACTCGAATACATGTAGTAGGTGAACGGCATAAACGGGGTTTCTCAATGATGACTACACCCCAACTGGAGTCCCTTAGATATGATGCAAAAGGGCTTTTGGTCTATCCTTGATCAGAGATTTCTCTATGAAAAATATGAATCGGAGTTTGAAGAAGGGGAGGAAGAAGGAGCCCTTGACCCGCAGGAGGATTTATTTAATCACATAGTTTGGGCTCCTAGAATATGGTTCCCTTGGGGCTTTCTATTTGATTGTATCGAAAGGCCCAATGAATTGGGATTTCCCTATTGCTCCAGGTCATTTCGGGGCAAGCGGATCCTTCATGATGAAAGGGATGAGCTTCAAGAGACTGATTCGAGGTTCTTTCAGAGTGGAACCATGCAGTAGCAGACACGAGATAGATCTTCCAAAGAACAAGGCCTTTTTCGAATAAGCCAATTCATTTTGGACCTACAGATCCACTCTTTTTCCTATTCAAAGATTAGCCCCCTGGCTCTATGTTTTCACATCGAGAATTATTTGCAGATGAAGAGATGTTAAAGGGGCTTCTTACTTCCCAAACAGATCCTCCTACATCTATATATAAACGTTTGGTTTATCAAGAATACGCAAGAAAAGCACTTCGAATTGTTGATTAATTATCAGAGATGGCTTAGAATCAATAGTTCATTATCTAATGGATCTTTCTGTTCTAATACTCTATCCGAGAGTTATAAGTATTTATCAAATATTTTCCTATCTAACGAAACGCTATTGGATCAAATTACAAAGACATTGTTGAGAAAAAGATGGCTTTTCCCAGATGAAATGAAAATTGGATTCATGTAACAGGAGAAAGATTTCCCATTCCTTAGCCAGAAAGATATGTGGCCATGAAAGAGGGATTAAGTGGAACAGAATTGACTGGRTGGTAGAGTCRTRGAAAYGCTTGTTTCTTCCATATTTTKKACCKTAGCTCCATRGAAGAATATGTTACTGCTGAAACACGGAAGAATTGAAATCTTAGATCAAAACACTATGTATGGATGGTATGAACTGCCTAAACAAGAATTCTTGAACAACAAACAACCAGTTCATATATTCACGACCAAGAAGTACTGGATTCTCTTTCGGGTAGGCCCTGAAAGGAGAAGGAAGGATGGAATACCAACAGGCATCTATTATATTGAATTTACCCAATAGTCCCCATTTTGGGAACGTCCAATGCCAAAGTCACTAAATAGGTAAGTCTCCAATCCCTAAACTATGTAATGTACTTTATCTACTGGGTTACGGGTGGGCATTTTACCAGAGGTTTCTAATCTACCCTTGTGTTATTCCTATTGAAGCATATACTTGGGGGGTTGGGTGCACGACGAATGATTTTAAAGCAGACTCCCCATTCATTAGATAGAGAGGATCACCAAGATTTCGCGATCCGCTACCGAATTTATTCCAATTCAAAGAGCATTCTCAATATTATGCCTTGAAGAGGACTCGAACCTCCAGTCTCATTAACATGAGATTTTTAATCTCACATGTATACCATTTCACCACCAAGGCATCTTGAAAGATAATTGTATTCCATTAATATGATATCTATCTAGTGTGATGTGTGGAATATATGAAAAATGTGGATCTATTGATCGGTCATGTCATATAGGCCCGAGTTGGATATTTAATTTCTTCAATTCAAATTATACAGAGAATGCGATGCCTGATATATATCAAAAAGATGGACAGTCAAACCTTTTTCTCGATTCACTCAAAAAGGTGAATAGGGTCCCAATAGAGATATGTAAAAAGCAGGTCTGATTACGCATACTCCTAATCCTAAATAGAATGTAATGATGAAAGGATCCATATGTAAACATAGTATCTATTTATATAGGACCGAATGACCTCTTCCTTATTCCATCCTGGTCCGGTATGGAAGTAACTTATAATCTTGGAATCGACTCGATCATCATATTATAAGTTCATAAACGTAGCCCATTCCCATTTTGGGTGGAACAGATCTACTAATTCTTTTATTCCAGTTAATAAGAGGTATCTTGAACTAAGAAAGAGACCCTAGAAGCTAAAAAGGTCTATCCTAAGCAATTGCAATAATCGGGTTCATTGATATTTCTGGTATAGTAGATGTTATCACACATACAATCATACTCAATTCCATGGAATTGTTTGATCTTATCTTAAAGGGGATCTTCTAGAATTTCTTGGTTTCGTCCAGTCATTAATAACTTTATTATTTTTAGATAAGATAATAGTAGATAGAAACAACACTTGTAAGGAGTCCTATTAAAACAAAGAAATATAGGCCTACCTTCCATCCACACCAAAATAAATAGAAGTTTCCAAAAGTACCAACCACCAAGCTTTAACAAGTCGCTAACTTGCTCATTTTATGGTAGGGCCCAGTCACCTCCCTTCTTTCTAACCTCTGGCAGTCAAAACTATAGGGAGACGTGATTCGTTCTTTCCATCGATAGAAGCAGTAGGTATATAATTCATGCAGCTAGTAGGCGATAGGAGGATGTAATACCTGGTTGTAGTGGCACTTTGGTGAATCAGGCGTCGCTTCTATTTTGTTTTTGATTATTATTTTTGACCCTACAATGACAGAAACTAGAAATCTTATCTTTTTTCCCTGTCCCATGGTTTTATACTATCTAGCCTGTAGCTAGGAAGTCTTGGATTTGTATACCATGTAGGTGAGAAAATCATCCGTGACTAGCTATCCTTATTCTCCTCCTAGAGATGTTTAAGAATATGGGTGCGGGAGGCTAAGGGATGACTGTAATGAGTATGCATTTTTATATAGGATCAAATGGCTTTTGTTCGATCGAGGAGGATGTGCTATGAATTTATACCACTTTCAGCGCTCAAAACTAAAGAAAATAGCATGGACTTAGGTATGTTTATATGGATATGATGTACTTTTCTTGTGTTTTCAGGTAAACTTAGGTGTTGGAGCAAGATTGTGCAAAAGAAGCTTAAAAGATCAGAAAATGAGCCAAGATGACAGTCTCAGTATGAGTCGTACATTGATGGTACAAATTGTACTAAGACTCGTGAAAATATTCAGAAGGATGAGCTAAGAAAGATGCAATCCATGACTCACGGTATGAGTCGTATGATCATGGTACGAGCCGTAACTTCAAGTTGTGGAAAGATTCATAGAAATTGCACAAAGGCTGACTCTGGGTACGAAAGACTACAGTACAAGTCGGGAAGGCAAGGAACGAGTCATACCAATACACTCATGACAAGCTTCAGAAGAATTCATAGTCTTCATATTCAAACCACGGAAGCTTAGTACGACTCGTAGGAAGTTGGTACAAGTCATACCAAGGCCTAACACTTAGCCGGATTTCAGCAAGCTAAAGAACTACGGATAGCAAGTACGACCCGTACAAACCTTCTACGGGTCGTAGATTTGGTCGTGGCTCGAGCGGCAAAAGTTATGGAAGTTTACCCTGTTAGCTTAGGAAAATGATTTTTATGTCTGTATAAATACGTTTTATGTTTTATTTTCATTAGAGGAGATCATATTACAGTAGACATAGTTAGCTTTTCATGAGAAAACATAGAATTGAGTTGATTAACTTGTGATCAACCTTTTCTTGATTTTCTTCTTGATCTTGTGAATTTTTCTTGATAAAATCCAGATATAATCAATGAAGTTTTTCTCTTATCTAAGATTGTAAGTATTGATTTATGTATTTAATTATGCAAACAAATCACAATCTTGCAACTATGAGAGACTAAAACCTCCATAGATAAGGTTGTGGAATCATGATGTATTAAGAAGCTAGGGTTATATAAAAGTTATTCAAAACCAATGCAAAACACTTGTATTGTATTCTCTTCATGCAAACGTTTCTTAATGGTGTACAATGTTAGGACATCCTCAGATTCTTTACTTGCTTAGGTCTAAGAGGTAGAGATTAGGAAAAGAGAACTACAACAAAGCCTTGACCTTGATGATCATTGGATTAACTTGAGTTGAGGTCACAGGATAGTTAAAATTTGGGACATATTGATAACGGTTAATTTACAATCGCTCATGAGACCTAGTCGGGTGATTTAGTATAGCCATTCAATAGGGACTGGTCAGTTATTTGAATGAACCCAAGTTATCAGTTCTACAAGTAAGCATTGGTGATGATCACATATGTATATCCAAAGCAGTTATGAACCCATGGGGAACACAAAACCCTAGTTATCTTTAAATCTTGATTTCATTCATAATTTTAATTATGCTTTTAATTATTGTTTTCTTTTGAAACCCCCAATTTGGAGTAACTACCTAACAAGTTCACTTAGGATTTAGTCTAGCTCTTCCCTATTCCCTGCGGGTTCGACCCCAACCTCTTATTTGGGTTCTTTATTGACAACGTCTGCTTCTTACTTTGGTAGGAGGTATGGTTTGAGTGTTATCAAAAAGTGGCACCATTGCCTGGGAATACGGATAAGACTAGATTACTTGCTTGTATTTGACTTGTTGGTAGTTACGTTCCTTTTTATGCTTTTCTTTGTGTTTCTATTATGACTCTCTCAGGTTACATCAAGGGAATGACCTCTCACTCAAACACTCAAATGGGATATGATAAGCTGCCAATGCTCGTGGAAGAGATGATGACTAATGATACATTGGCAGCTGTGATGATGAATTATGAGGGAGATTGGATCCCAGTATACATGGAGATAGTGAATGCTCTAAATGGAATGGGGTCATATAACTTCAGCCCGAAGAAGTTAGACCTGGATCTAAAGAATCGTTCACGCAAACGGCCAAGCCATCTGTGGAGGTGCCACAAATTCTTGAGCTAAAAGCACTACCTCTCCATCTCAAGCATGCATTCCTCGGAGAAGACAATACTTTACCAGTCATAATTGCAGCAGACCTGTTAGACGATTAGGTGGAAGCTTTGGTCAACATACTAAAATGGTATAAAAAGGCAATTGGCTGGACCATAGCTGATATTATTAGAATACCACCAGGCATATGTACTCACAAGATCCAACTGGAGCCATATGTGAACCAAGTATAGGACATCAGTGCCGCCTGAACCCTCTAATGCAAGAAGTTATAAAAAAGGAAATTATCAAGTGGCTGGATGCGGGTGTCATATATCCCATCACAAATAACAAGTGGGTGAGCCTAGTTCTGTGCGTACCAAACAAAGGTGGGATTATAGTGGTGCCCAATGAGAAGAACAAGCTGATACCAACATGACCAATCACAAGATGGAGTGTATGTATGGATTACAGGAAACTCAACCATTGGACCCAGAAGGACCATTTTCCAATGCCATTCTAGGATCAGATGCTTGACAGACTGGCAGGTAGAGGTTGGTACTGCTTTCTTGATGGATATTCAGGATATAATCAGAATACCATCGTCAAGAAGTCCAGGAGAAGACGACCTTTACCTGCCAATATGGAACTTTTGCTTTTAGAAGAATTCCATTCGAATTGTGCAATACACCAACCACATTCCAGCGCTGCATGATGTCCATATTCTCAGACATGGTGGAGGATACTATTGAAGTATTTATGTATGATTTTTCTGTTGTAGGTGACTCATTTGAATCTTGCCTCGACCATCTGGGAAAAGTATTGAAAATATGCGAAGAAACTAATTTGGTCTTAAACTGAGAAAAATGTCATTTCATGGTTAAGGGGGGAGTAGTGTTGGGTCATAAAATCTCGGGAAAGGGGATTGAAGTGGACAAAGCAAAATTAAAAGTTATAGCAGGGTTGCCACCCCCTATTTCAATAAAAAGGGTCAGGAGCTTCTTATTGCATGAAGGATTCTACAGGTGATTTATCAAGGATTTTTCAAAACTTGCATAGCCATTATTCAAATTGCTTGAGAAGGAGGTAAAGTTCGTGTTTGATGAGGCATGTCTAAGGGATTTTGAGTGCTTAAAAGAGAAACTCACCACTGCTCCTATCATCATGGCTCCAGATTGGTCTCTTCCATTTGAGGTAATGTATGATGCTAGCAGAGTTGCTCTTGGTGCTGTTTTGGGACAGAGAAGAGCAAAGATCTTTCATCAAATTTATTACGCTAGTAAAACACTCAATACGGCTTAAAAGAATTACATAGTCACAGAGAAGGAGCTACTGGCAGTGGTCTTTGCTTTCAAAAAATTCCAAGCATACTTTCTTGGGACCAAGGTGATCATCAATATAGGCCAAGCTTCCTTGAGGTAACTAATGTCCAAAAAGGATGTTAAGCCTAGATTGATTAGGTGGGTACTTCTTCTCTAAGAGTTTGAGTTTGAGGTTAAAGATCCCAAGAGCACGAAAAATCAGGTAGCAGATCATTTATCCAGACTTGAATCCGAGGAAAGAGCAAGGAAGGAGATAGATATTGATGATGCCTTCCCAAACGAATAGGTATTAGTTGCATCACAGGACTTGATTCCCTAGTTTTCCAACTTTGCAAAATACTTGGTTAGCGATATGATGCCGACAGACCTGAATCCTCAGCAGAAGAAGAATTTCTTATTCAATGCTCGAAGATATTACTGGGATGAACCATACTTATT